GCTTGCAATTTATATAAATACTATACATACCTGCATATTTATATTATATATACCTGTACATTACAAGATTTTTTAAAAATATTTAAGCATATTTTACTGCCTATTTTAATTAAACAATGGGATTAAGTTAAACAACTTATACAAAGCCCTTTCCCTCAATAAGTAAATTGTCCTTGTAGTGGTTTAAGATTTTAAATGCATGTTATATGTAAGGATGGAAGATACTGTGAATTTATGTTACATAGCATATATCATAGTGATGTCAAGAAAATATAACACTACAAAATCTGTATTGTATTTTGATGTGCATTATGTTATCTTGCACATTTGTTTATCATGGTCATATGATGTTATTTACAGGGACTCAATCAAGTTTGAGATTGTGAAGAAATAAAACATTTGTCAACTTCAGCCATCTTTTAAGTTTATATTCATGCACAGGGATTCGTTACAAATGTTTGAAATACACATATAATGATATATATACATGCTATACTGATATGGATCACAGCACCTGTGTGCTGTCATATTTCGATTCACGCACGTAAAAAAACCTAAAATACACACACATGTGCTGTAGCCCATATTATTCACGTACATACCGTTTCTAGAATCTTTATTAAGATTATCCGTGTTTTCAAACACGTTTCCAAGAGAGTAACATATCGGCTGTCATAAGGAACCGTCGATATAGCCTCCCTTTTTGTGTTTATTTTCTACATTAAAATTTCGCCTGTTGGGATTTTGTTTAACCGAATTTTCCCGGTTTTTAACCGAATTTTTTTCGGGGCCGCTTGCGCTCTGCAAAAATTCAGGATGGCGACGGCGAAGTGTTGATTCGTCTATTGGCAAGTAATGTGGTCGTCCGGGAGTTATAATCCCATACAGCGCATGTTGGGTAGATATGGCTCTTACTGTGCAGATATGGGACGTGGCCATACAAGGCCTATGCACATATAGCATTACCTGTATATTAAAATATGCAAACGGCTTATATTCCCTTGAAATCGACACTTAAGGTCATTGGAGTGTATTGATAAACGGAAACAGGAAGTACATCCCTAGTTGAATATCCAATGTAGGAAGACAGTATCACAATTTCCGGCTATTCTAATGTTTAATATTAAACTGATGAATATTGTGTGTTTATTATTGACAGAACAGTGTGTTCTCTCAATATTTTTTCTGTACTTCAGGAAACCGGCTACCTATTTCACTACTGTGAAGTTTTTCAAGAACGATAACTCTTACCTGCAATTACTATGTGTATATGGTTTTATTATAAAATGTTAATTTTTATATCGTGTATAGAGAATTAATTTTACACAATTTCAGCATTTATTAAATTGATATACATTAATGCAATACTAATATCTGTCACTATCATTTTTATTGACATTATTTTGTAATAATATTGTGTCTTTATTTATTTTTTCAAAATTCACTCCTTTTTACATAAATTTCCATTTAAAATCCTTAAAATTATGACAACCTATATTTTTTTGTGACAGAAAATTTTCTTTACTTTAAAGCAATATAACTACAAAATTTGAAGAAATTCTACTGAGAAATGGTGACACAATCCTATTACCTTAATATCCGAGTCGACGGTTCTTCCATATTTTTCGATTATGCGATTATTTCACGGACAGTTGAGATTATTTTCCATTTAATAATTAAATTGCTTAATAAATGGGTTTTTTCCTCTTTCTTNCGAATTATGTGATGAACAAGTGATGACTATTTTGACATTAAACCCTTTATCATCCCTCGTCCTGAAGTCAGGGTCTCTGTCGGACGATCAAGCTATTATATCAAATGACCCCTGGCTATTCTTACTGACTATTATCCGATCACTGTTCATCAAACGAGTTATTAATCATCAAATTGAATCATGCAGATTCATCTAGTTTAACGCTCCCAATCTAGTGGATTAATCAACGACACCAGATATTCATTTAATACCAGTCGTTTGATCAGGTGGTAATTATATAAAGGCGTTTGAGGCGGCAAGCTGTATTGTTTACCTGTATACCAAATATCTCTCCTGGCTCTGAGATATACCACCAGTTTACGAAATGAAAACAATCAATCCGATTTATTATTTCTGCATGTGCCTTCATCTATAGCACAAACCATCTATACGTGAATATGACTAGCTGTCGAGTAGTCAACAATGCCCAAATGTGACGTCTTTCAATCATTTTCATTGTGACGTCATTGTGACGTAACTACGACCTAAGATAATACGGGGTTTCTCATGGCTTCACACACTATCAAATCAATTGCAGTTGAGCTGAATCTGATTTTGTTACCGAGTTTGTTTCGGTAAGTTTCTTCATCAATAATTATAGTATCACTATCTCGGCATGGTCCTTTGTGTTCATAGTTAACCAGTGTAAACACAACGTACGTACAATATACGATAATAATCCGACCAGCTGTTCCATCTACTACGCCTAATTCACGCGTTGTCGGCGTCGTCTCTTAACGACTGCCCTGGTCGCCAGTTTTCTGTAAGGTAAGCAATAATAGCTAAGTGTAAATAAAGATAAGCTTTGACTTGACTCGTATCATTGTTGTCTGACAGGTAGTTACAATGTTGCGGTTTGGCAGAATACCAAACAGTGTTAAGAATAGGTAGAATATATTCTATTGTTGTTTTTTTATTTTTAAATTGTATTCCTAGAACTTGGTATGATTTAAGGACAGTCAGAATTGCCTCCAACCATAATACATTATGCAAAATACAACAGTGGTTTAATAAATACATGTCTATACTGGTTATATCAAATGACTAAGACTGATTATATACAAGTACATCATAAAGATGATAGTCCAAAACAACTGACTATCTCTTCGTTGATTCTCTTGTTATGGGGCGATATCTCAGCGTCAAGTTTAAAAAGATTATTGTGAACATTTTCGGACTGAAAACATGTCGAATGGACAAAGGCAAACTTAGCGAAGCGCGTTAGGTTTGCATACAATTGCATGACAGGCTCACTGACATGACAGGCTCACTGATATGACAGGCTCACTGACATGACAGGCTCAGGCTCACTGACATGACAGGCTCACTGACATGATAGGCTCACTGACATGACAGAATCACTGATATGACAGGCTCACTGACATGACAGGCTCACTGATATGAAAGGCTCACTGACATGACAGGCTCCCTGATATGACAGGCTCACTGACATGACAGGCTCAGTGACATGACAGGCTCACTGATATGACAGGCTCCCTGACATGACAGGCTCAGGCTCACTGACATGGCAGGCTCAGGCTCACTGACATGATAGGCTCACTGACAAGACAGGCTCACTGGCATGACAGGCTCAGGCTCACTGACATGACAGACTCACTGACATGACAGGCTCACTGATATGACAGGCTCCCTGACATGACAGGCTCAGGCTCACTGACATGGCAGGCTCAGGCTCACTGATATGACAGGCTCACTGACATGATAGGCTCACTGACATGACAGAATCACTGATATGACAGGCTCACTGACATGGCAGGCTCAGGCTCACTGACATGATAGGCTCACTGACAAGACAGGCTCACTGGCATGACAGGCTCAGGCTCACTCACATGACAGGCTCACTGACATGACAGGCTCACGCTCACTGACATGACAGGCTTACTGACATGACAGGCTCACTGACATGACAGGTTCAGGCTCACTGACATGACAGGCTCACTGACATGATAGGCACACTGACATGACAGAATCACTGATATGACAGGCTCACTGACATGGCAGGCTCAGGCTCACTGACATGATAGGCTCACTGACAAGACAGGCTCACTGGCATGACAGGCTCAGGCTCACTGACATGACAGGCTCAGGGTCACTGACATGACAGGCTCACTGACATGATAGGCTCACTGACAAGACAGGCTCACTGGCATGACAGGCTCAGGCTCACTGACATGACAGGCTCAGGCTCACTGACATGACAGGCTCACTGACAAGACAGGCTCACTGGCATGACAGGCTCAGGCTCACTGACATGACAGGCTCACTGACATGACAGGCTCAGGCTCACTGACATGACAGGCTCACTGACATGATAGGCTCACTGACATGACAGGCTCAGGCTCACTGACATGACAGGCTCACTGACATGACAGGCTCACTGACATGACAGGCTCAGGCTCACTGACATGATAGGCTCACTGACATGACAGGCTCACTGATATGAAAGGCTCACTGACATGACAGGCTCACTGATATGACAGGCTCACTGACATGAATAGAAATTGTGGAGTACGTATTCCTAGGACAAAATACAATTCTTCTATCAGGTATAAATATAATTTGTGGAGTACGTTTTACTACGACAACATACTATGCTTTTATCAGTTATTAGTAAAAATTGTGGAGTACGTATTACTATGACAACATACAAAATGTATTTTCAGTTCACACTGTTCGAATTCTTTAATGCATTGCCCGTTCATGGTTAATAGCACTTCACAACAAAAAACTGCTTTGGCTCATCAATATTTCATTCCTACAAACTATATATGTAGCCGTGGTGTTACTTCTCAAATAGCTTATTAGTTTATTAATTTGTCACTGTCTTCATAGGTTTAACAAGACAACTACGACTCTCTATCATAGAGATTACTTCAGTCATTGTAAGTTGTATACTAAACTTACGATAAACACTGCACGACCGACAAGTTTACCGCTATTTTGGAGAATGATAGTAGCATCATCACTGTTCTATCTCGTGACATTTACCCAGAGTTGTTGTATGTGTACATTACACTAATTCGTCTTTCTGTCATTAAAACAGCTTTATCTCCACTAATTTTCCAGCTAGCTCAGTGTTATTGTTTAATCTTTTGCGATTCTCCCCTTCACTATTAACACAATCATTGTAATCAGAACCGTACAGTCAAAACACCTTCCTGTTCGTATCGTATTCTCCTATTAACACTGTATCAAACCCATTAAAGTACAGTTAGGTGTGAGTTCTAACATAAACACTTTGAAGATTATACATTTACAAAACGCGTCAAATATTTTTCAATCTTAATTGTCAACATCAACAATCGGGTGATAAATTGTTGGCCCTGTAAAATGACATTGGCCAACATTTCCTTCACAATACCTGTTTACCGACATCGTCAACATTGTTCGCGGCATGGCTGGTATTTAATTCGTAGCGGGTGAATGTACTAGCTACCCGAGAAGTGAACTCAACTGTGTTGCAATGTGTCAGGCGGCGAGCTTTAATACTTTATATCATAGTAAGTTTACATTGACGTTACAAACACAGGCGTGTAGCTATCTGGTTCACCCACTACACTGTGAGACGTAGATATATATACTTGATCTTTTACTTGCAGTCTGCGTCCAGGACAGTGACGATAAGGACGTGACACATGAACTAGAAATCCGGATTTTATATCCAGCACCATTCCAACATGGCAGCAGCTCACAGTGACCAGGAAATCGACGAGCTGAAGATCCACACCACCACTGCGTTTGACTGGGAGGCTGAGAAGAGGAAAAATACAAACGTATTTGACGATGGAACAAACACATTTTTCTGGTGAGTAAAATAATCTAGAAATTTCGAACAGGGGAATATGGCCCTGACCCCTACCCCAACTAGACGGCCTGCTACTTGATAAGTACATAACGTAAACAACTGTTTATTACAGTATCAAAGATAAGCTGACAGCACTTTAACAACACGGTAGGTCAACGAACTAGTCACATGGACATGGCGAAATAGGAACATAGAGACAAACAATACAACGGAACACATGATTGCTGGGCCATTACACGCATGGTTACCTTAACTGGGGTTGATTTCTCAAGTTCAAATTTCGAAATGTCTTTAACCACGAGTGAAGTTTTGTTTTTCTTACTCTGAATTCATCGTTTAGGAACTAAGCACGATTTGTATTAAACTATTAATTGAAATATTTCGATCACTGTATGATATTTGATACACATTGTGTTTAGGCGTTGAAGCTTACCGTGGGTCAGACGCGGAAGAAAGCGTGATACTTACGTCAGATATATAATCCATTGCAGTGCCATGTCTGCCAGAGTTCAGTACCAAACATGATCGTCTTAAATAAAACAAAATGCCGTTCAAGACATAAGGAATGAACAGGTGTATGTTTTAAAACGATTAAAGTGAGTTTTAAACATTAAAGTGGACAGTTCTTTCTGTGAAAACGTTTTAAAAAACCAATTAAATAGATTAAATCTACCTCAAAATAATTTGCTGACAATCAGTAGAGAACGACTACAACGCTCACGTGTACCCGAATTGTAAACAACAATCGTACCCGCTCACGTGTACTCGAGTTGTAAACAACACACACCCGCTCACGTGTACTCGAGTTGTAAACAACAAACGTACCCTCTCATGTTTATTAGGAGTTGTAAACAACAAACGTACCCTCTCATGTGTATTAGGAGTTGTAAACAACAATCGTACCCGCTCACGTGTACTCGAGTTGTAAAAGGCACACACCCGCTCACGTGTACTCGAGTTGTAAACAACAAACACCCGCTCACGTGTACTCGAGTTGTAAACAACAAACGTTCCCTCTCATGTGTATTAGGAGTTGTAAACAACAGTCGTACCCGCTCACGTGTACTCGAGTTGGAAACAACAGACACGTGCACCCGCTCACGTGTATTCGAGTTGTAAACAACAAACGTACCCTCTCATGAGTATTAGGAGTTGTAAACAACAAACGTACCCTCTCACGTGTATTAGGAGTTGTAAACACCAATCGTACCCGCTCCCGTGTACTCGAGTTGTAAACAGCACACACACGCTCACGTGTACTCGGGTTGTAAACAACAAACGTAACCGCTCACGTGTATTAGGAGTTGTAAACAACAATCGTACCGCTCACATGTACTCGGGTTGTAAACAACAGACACGTGCACCCGCTCACGTGTACTCGAGTTGTAACCAACAGACACGTGCACCCGCTCACGTGTACTCGAGTTGTAAACAACAGACACGTGCACCCGCTCACGTGTATTCGAGTTGTAAACAACAAACGTACCCGCTCACGTACAAGGAATTGCAAACAAAATCACTCGTTCACGTTTACACGGAGTTGTAAAAAACAAACACATCGCTCATACATGATCATGTTCCCGGTATCAAACAACATAGTCTCTCTACAACAATCTCTCTACAACAAGTGTATAACGCGTCACGGTTTCTATCTTGATATTGATCATGAGACCCTTACAATGGCGGCTGTGTTGACATCCGGTTGACTTGGCGGCACAGTACTCCATGTTAGACGCTCTACACATACTTGGTTCCATATATACAAAGAAATAAGCATCATACTTCCGTCAGAGATAAGGTCTGGTAGTAGAAACGGAAACAAGACAACCGTTGTTTGTGTACACTCAAAAGGCGAGGTCGTCTCGTTAGCGATCTTATTAGAAACGTTATGAACTTATAGATTGTGGACAAACTACTAGAGCAATGAAGATTTTTGGTTTACAGAACACCATGGGCACTGACAGAATGTTAGGAAATGGCATTATGATATATGGAATGAGAGTATGACCAATGTTTGTGTATTTAACCTCGACAGTGACAGAATGACATGAGATGAGAGAGTTTGGAATGAGAGTATGACCAATGTTTGTATATTTTCTTTGGACAGTGACATTGTAATATGATTTGAGAGTATGATCAATGCGTTTTTAACCTGGACAGTGACATTGGGACATGAAATGAGAGAGTATGACATAGAATTCGGGTATGGTCAGTGTGTGTGTATTTACCATGGAAAGTCAAAGTATGACATGGAATTCGGGTATGGTCAGTGTTTGTGTACTTACCACGGACAGTCAAAATATGACATGGAATTCAGGTATGGTCAGTGTTTGTGTATTTACCATGGACAGTCAAAGTATGACATGGAATTCAGGTATGGTCAGTGTTTGTGTACTGACTCTGGATATTGACAATTTATTATGGTTTGAGAGTATGATCATTGATTGGTGTATTTACTCTGGACAGTGACAGATTGTTAATGTTTGAGAGTATGATCAATGTTTTGTGTTTTTACTCTGGACATTGACATTTTGGTATGGTTTGAAAGTATGTTCAACGTTTTGTGTTTTTACTCGTGACAGTGACAGTATGATGTGTTTTGAAAGTATGCTCAACGTTTTGTGTTTTTACTAGTGACAGTGACAGTATGATGGGTTTTGAAAGTATGCTCAACGTTTTGTGTTTTTATTCTGGACAGTGACAGTATGATATGAAAGTATGATTAACGTTTGTTTATTTACAGGAGGGCCCATACCATCACGGTTCTCGTCGTATTCATCGGCATTCTCGTCTACATTGCCATATTCGAGGAGCCTATCAGTAACCCAGACTACAACAGCAAAAGGTACGCCACTACCTGTCCCTACTAAGTCATTGATCTGAATCTTGTCACACGTTTCTTAGTTTATACACGAAACCTTACTGTGAATCTAATAAAAGATGATATTTCTTTTGCAAAAAAACCTATTATAGTTGCAACATTAATGTGTTTGGATTGTTGCATTAAATCTAATATTGATGATTAAAATACAACCAGCGCCTGAAGTAACAAGCGGAAAAGCGATTCCTATCGTTCACATGATTCATACACCGTACCACATAGTGTCGGGTGTATCAGATATTATAATTAATGTTATAATTAATGTTATAATTAATGTTGGCCTATATCTGACACTCGTTATGATTCACTTTATTAAAATATGTTTTATCTATGTGAGTGAATCACCCTTTCCCTCCTCTATGGATCACAGCATTTGCTGAACATGTCATCAACTATTGTTTCTTATGACATATACCGTATTTATCTCGCAATACGACCAGAGGACCAACAAATTAATTCTTAACTCAAAGTAGATGTGAGCTTATTGCAGGACAATGAAATAGCATATATATATATAGGATAGCGTTTCTACGGAACTGTATTTAGCATGGGTGAGCTTATTATCAGGCAAGAGCGTAATGTTGGGTAAATACGGTATATACAAAACATATGATGCATCTGGCGTTCTATGTATGTATACGACCCTGGTACTGCAGTACTTGTAACCCAAGGCCGATCGAGTGCGGATTCACAGTTATAAAGGGGTGGGTG